TGACCACTGGGCGTACTGAACCGCAGCGGGATCACCATTTGCCAAGAAGGCAACAAGCGTTGGTGCTTTGGGGTTACCTCCCTGGACTTTGGCCAGCGTCTCTTTGACTTCGGTCAAGAGGTTCTTAGCAATGGTCTCTGCGGTGATGACCTTGCAGGTCTTGGGAACTTCTGACGAAGCCATTATCTGAGCACCAAGTCCGTGTTAGCGTCAAATTCTTTATCACCCAACTGAATAGTCAACAGTCGGACGAGGAATAAGTCTTGATTGAAGAACCCCACCAATGTAGCTTTGAAGCCGAAGCTCTACATCGTCACTGGTCAGTGAATATGGAGAATTGGTTCATGGGGGCAGTAGACGAACAATTCAAGTTGTGATTTCCTCCACGTCTGGTAATCAACAGTCCAGGTCAACAATGCTCCCACCCGTGAGGCTTGAAATGTCTGTTGGAGATGCATGATTACCTCGAATCGCTGAGAAAAAAAATGTGCCCCTCCAAAACCTTTGATGCCGCATTTGCCCCTCTTACTAACCGTGGACTAGCGCCAGTAAGCAAGTAAATGGTGGAGACGAGCCAATGCACCTTCCCTTGCTTAAACCAACTTTCGATGTTGTGGCCTTGAGCCTCAACAACGTTGCATCTAGGTCCGCTGGCTGTGAACGCCTTATGGATTCTTCCTTTTCATCACTTTCGAATAAATCAATCTTGTTCGTTTGTCTATTGGAACCACGTGTTGGGTTTTGAACAGTTCCGCATGATGCGCATCATTGTGCGCGGAAACCTGGAGCCTGGAGCCATCACCAACGGTGAGAAAAAAGGCTCAAATCCGCAGAAAATCCGCAGTCTAACAGCTTCTTTAAAAAAATTACAGCCAGTGTCATAGCATGATGGTGGATGAGAAGCTTCAACTCCATCCAGAAGATATTCTTCATTTCAACAATATGTGGTGGCGCGCGCTGCTCTTACGGCCGTTTGGCGTGCGCAGAGTCCATCGGTGGCCAAGCTCTCCGTCAGATCGATGAACAGAAAACATGTGATGAAAGTCATACTTGTGGACTAGGTCCTTCACGTGATCCTCTTCAGTTGGACGATCGAGATTTACGTCAAGCTCAACACCGGATACCTCCTCTGGCAGGACAAGTTCCGCGTTATTCCTCCTGACAGCGAGAAACAGGACGTTGCCGGCACGTCATTCACAGAGCCGCTGTCTCCGATATATATTCATGGAGTATCATTTCATCTCGCATACCCCGGGTTTTTATCTCAATCTGCTGCAGCGTTCTTCTCCGCGGGTGGACAAGTTGATAAGCTTCCCCAAGTCAGTCAGTTATCTTTGCAGCGGGCGAAATGTGGAGCCGCACTGGTGCTGGTGTCCAACTCGTCCAGATAAGGTCAGACCAACCAACATCACCGCTTTGAACAGCCCCTTTCTGATAGGATAGTTGTCCAATAGGATTCATTGAATCGGAACCTCGCTCGAATCCGTCGATAACATGCTTGCAATGGTAATTCCGATTGACATTTCAAATAGCCTTGAGGCAGTTGTTTTTCATCACGTGAAGCTTCCAAGCCATGGGAGACATTACCCGCCCCCTTTTGAGGGTTACGTGGTTAATAAATCGGACCATGAATACTCGGTATCATAACGACGTGTCTTGTTGATGAATTAAGCGGTGAATCAACGACAAGAGTCTTCAAAAACGAAAAGAGATAACATATGTAGAGTATCAACGAAAGGCTATTGTAAGTGTGTCTGATGGGATGTTGCCTGGGCTAGCTGACTCACTTCTTATCAGTGGCCGCGACCATTGTCAGAACCCAAGCGTATCAGCGCCACCAGAAGTAGTTGGGTACGATGTCGATCTGGGCGTACTGTATGATAGGCGCTGTTATCATGTCTACCCTGAAACCGCCGGGTGTACCCGGCAATTGAATGAGACAGCCTTAACGCCATGGTGCCGAAGGACAGGTCCATTCGCAGTCCCAACAACCAGGGACCCCAAGATCTTTGCTGGTTGGCTTAGGGCTATCGAATCTAGATAAGCGTTCAGCCCGGAGATGCTTGGAGATGCTTAAATCGGACTCTGGCCGGATGTCGTTGACTTGACTACTATCGCAATGAACCAGAGTATTTAGAGGTCAGCATGATGCTAACAACTCAAATCAAAATCAAAATCAAATCGAATAGCGAAATTCCACTGTAGGGTGATTTCAAGCGCTGCTTTTCAAAGCTATTTGACAACTTTCAAAAAATGGGCTTCAATATATCTTTGTTATGGAAGACCCCCGTGGTCAACCCCATCAACAAGAAAGCTCGAAGCATACCTGTTCTGAACGTAGTTGATCCGTATGGACGGGTATTTTTCTTCTCTTGGATGGGCTTCATGCTTGGATTTTGGGCATGGTACGAAAACCATGGTTTCCATTACCTCTCTTTTTCTCCTTCCCTCCAGGCTAATGTCGTCTGTACAGGTACACATTTCCTCCATTGTTGACAGTCACGATTAAAAAAGACCTGCACCTCAGCGCCGCCGAAGTAGCCAACTCCAACATTGTATCCCTCTGTGCCACTCTACTTCTACGATTCGTCGCCGGACCCCTCTGCGACCAATTCGGCTCCCGGAGAGTTTATGCCTCACTCCTCCTCCTCGGCTGTCTACCGATCGGCCTCGCCCCCCTCGTCAAGACAGCCAACGGCCTCTACGTCTCCCGATTCTTCATTGGTATCCTCGGAGCAACGTTTGTCCCATGCCAAGTCTGGTGCACCGGCTTCTTCGACAAGAACATTGTCGGCACAGCCAATGCTCTCTCTGGGGGATGGGGCAACGCCGGCGGCGGCATCACCTACTTCATCATGCCAGCCGTCTTCGACTCCCTAGTTGCTTCCCAGGGCATGACTCCGTCCAAGGCATGGCGAGTCACCTTTGTCGTGCCCCTCATTTGCCTGATTGCTTGTGCTCTCGGCATGATATTCCTCTGCCCGGACACCCCTCTCGGAAGCTGGGAAGAGAGGTCGCAAAAGCTCCAAGAAAACCTGGACCAATATAGTCCCACGAGCACCACAGCCGTCAACACGCCTCACATCCTCAGCGAGCCGCCGAGCCGAGACGAAGAAAAGGCAGAAGGGTCTGACGGGGAGTCGAAATTCTACAGGCAACCGTCTGCCATCTCCTTGTCGGAAGCCGTGTCCATTGCTCAGGCGGAAACCGTGGTCAAGCCCAGCTTCAAGGACTCTCTACCCGTCATACTCTCCTTACAGACCCTCTTCCATGTCGCCACATACTCGTGTTCATTCGGCGGCGAGCTGGCCGTCAACTCCATCCTCAGCTCCTACTACAAGGCCAACTTTCCACACTTGGACCAGACCAAAGCCAGCAACTACGCCGCCATCTTCGGCTTCCTCAACTTTGTCACACGTCCGCTCGGCGGCGTCGTGGCAGACATCCTCTACAAGGTATCCGGACAAAACCTGTGGACGAAAAAGGCCTGGATCACCATGGCCGGCCTCCTGAGCGGGGCGTTGCTCATCGTCGTCGGAAAGGTTGATCCTTCAGAAGCCAATGGCCGCGACATCGGCACCATGGTAGGCCTCGTCACCGTCGCCGCCTTCTTCATAGAGGCAGGCAACGGTGCCAATTTCGCCCTCGTGCCGCACGTCCATCCCGCCGCCAACGGCGTCCTGTCCGGGTGCACCGGCGGCGGCGGCAACCTGGGCGGCGTGGTGTTCGCCATCATCTTCAGGTTCATCGACCACGGCAGCGGCTACGCCACTGCCTGCTGGGTCATCGGCGTCATTCATATTGCCGTCAACTTGGCAGTCTGTTGGATTCCGCCATTGCCAAAGCGCCAAGTCGGCGGACAGTAAACAAACGATGAGTCAGGGTCCCAAAAAATGCATCATGTGTATATAGGATTTAAAGTTTTTTCACGTAGCGAGCAGCGAGTTTTCGTTGGCCTGGGCCATTTTCTTCCAAATAATGCCATCTTTGTTTTTTTTTCAGCGTTGCCTACCTGCCGTGCCTCAAACTCGTCAAACGTCATTCGGTCCCAAGTAACCTCCAAACGCGACGGCGTTCAGACACACAATGATGCCACTGTCCTCACTCACTGAGACACATAACCGAACAATGGTGTCGCAGCCCTTGGAAACTGCCTTGTGAAACACTCCCGGTCCCCGAGTGCCACCCCGCCAAAAGGCGTTTGCAGATCCGATGCGAAGCCAAGCCTTGATCGCCAAGATTGTTTGTTTGTGGTCAGCCCTGTAATCAGCCGTGTGTAATTTGACATGAGACGCTTAGGATGGCCATTTCTCCCTTGACATGTAATATGTGCATACTCCGTAGTATGCATACGTACATATATTGTACATTCAAGAAATTACACTTTTGTCAGAATATTGGATGTAACCCTAGCATGCCAAAAGCTGGCTTCGACGCCAAGAGCGGGTCCTCGTGACACCTGACCTGTCTCTGCATCGCTCACAGACATGTCTTACATTCCAACGCGGTGTAGCACTAGTACCGATCATCAATAACAAGGTGAGGCTGATGGCAATTGAGTCAAGGTTAATTGAGGCTGAATGTCGTCAAAGTCGCACGCCTTGCGTCATCACGGCCGGGGGGGAGTAGCTGACGAAATGGATAAGACAGTACTCTGTAGATTCCAAGTAAATGGGATTCAGAGACACGCAACACTAAAGGGACTCTCAAGGGCGGACGCATTGGTTAATTAATGTGATGAAATTTTGTTTACATAGCGCCTCGATCCAGGCTTAACATTAACGAAACGTTCATCAGGACGTCAATCAATATAGCCAAACAGCTTGGGTTCCGCGCGTCACTACCAAGAATGACCCGAAACTTTCCAATCAGTGCCAATATCAACCCATGTACCAGTACCCCTTACCAGAGCGCACTATGTACCGTATGTGCAAGAGAACCCCATGACCAGATGAAAAAAAAGAAACACGCATAACCACCCACTGCTACCGATTCTCTCCTTACAGAGCAAGAACGGCGGCAACAACACCCAGAATAGCGAGTGAGCCGACGCGAACGACGTTGGCAGCAGCAGTAGGGGTGGCAAGAGTACTGGGAGCAGTAGTAGTGGGAGCAGCAGTAGTGGGCTTGAAAACAGCAGTGCTGGTAATGAGAACAGGAGCAGACTGGCTGGATGAGGTCTTGACAACCAGAGTGGTGTTGGCAGGAAGGGTAGTGTTGGACTTGATGGTCTTGGAGTGAGTGCTGGTTGTGGCGGGAGCAGAAGTCGTCGTGACGGAAGTGCTGCTGGCGGCGGCAGTGCTCGTGACCGGAGCGGTGCTGCTAGACAAGCTAGACAAAGTAACAGTCTTGGTCACGCTGCTGCTCGAGGTACCAGAAGGCTGGTTGCCAGAGGCCGTGATGTGGAAAGGGTTAGAGTACTGGAAAATGGTGGGATCGCTCTCGTAGCGGATGACAAGACCATATACCGCCTTGTCACCAAGAGAAGCGTCGACCTTCCATGAGTAGGACTCGGCACTGTTCTTGACACCAGCTGTAATATCGTGTTAGAAAACAATCCCGTCCTAACCATTTCGATTATCTTATGCAGCGCTAACTTACAAGCGATATCAGCAAGCGGGACCTGAGTATTCTGGGTAGCACCGCCGATCAGCTCAATCTTGACGGTGCCTTCAGAGTACTTGGCGGGAGCCTTCCAGGTGATAGTAAATGTAGAGCCAGCAGTAATCTTCTCGTTAGGCGTGGGGGCGTAGATGGGATCGAAGTCGGCAGTCTGGGCAAAGGCAGTGGCGGCGAAAGCCAGAATAGTGGCGACAGAGAAACGCATGTTGATGGTTCAAGAAATACAAACGTATTTTTTTAATGTCGAGAAGTCAAATATTAAGCGGAGCGAAAGAAGGACTGGAACAGTGTTTTAAAGAGCGTGGGTGGCACAAAGAAGCCTAGATTAAAGAGCGACTGTGGTTGAAGAAGGAGGATGTGAGATGTGAGCGAAACCAAGAGGTGAAGTACAATAATAGTTTTTTGGGAAGGCAGGCAGGCCGGCTGACCGGCAGACTGGCATGTTGCAGCACGTGTAGTCGAATCTTGTTGGCCATGGACCCAGAGGCTGACGGGGCGTGCCTGCCAACAATGGGTCCGACCGTTGTTCCTGGACCATTTCATCAGCGAGCGGGGGCTTGCTCAGTGACTGCTGATTCGGGTGTGCCAGCAGCAGGCACCACAGCATGTTAAGTCCTGACGGTTCTTGGCGGGCCAAAAATGCCATGGTGGAGCCCTTGTCAGGGGAAAAGCAAATTACATCCAAGAATAGGGACCTTCTATTGGACAGACAAGGGCCTGCGCTGGGCTGAGCTAGCCAGGCATCAATTGACGGGTTGGTCGTGGCAGTCAGGGTCAGCGGTCGCGGCATGCACCACAACAAGGCGGCGCTTGACATTGTGGGTCGAAGGAAAGAAGCTAGTCTGCATGGCGAAGTGGCCGAGTCGTGGCTAATAACGAGAAGAGGGAGAAGGGGAACGAAAAAAAATATCATGTCCCCTTGGCCCCTCAGCCGCTGTGGAAACTGTCGGCAGCCCCTTCTCTAATATCAGGACATTGCAATGCTGCGATGGTGCAATGGCCAAGTGCATAGTTACCATTTCCCAGATTATCATCTCCCTGCTCACGCAAGCCTTCTGCCAGCTTTCCGTCAGTCCACGGCAAAGTCTCGCAATTTCCTGTTCCCTAAATAGCACACCGCCGGCTGCAGGCGCCCAGGGCCAGTGTGGAATGTCTCGATACCAATGCATAATAGTATTAATTAATACGTCTATACATAGTAAGCATGCTCGAAATGGTCAATGCCGTCGTGTAATGGATCATCAGCCGCAAACGCCAGCGGCAAACCATTGGGCCTATAGGTAGCGATTACGTGCTCTCAAATCTGAATGGCGGCGGCATTGCTTGTTACGCCTCCAGTAAAATATTGAATTTACCCATGCCGGTTGAAAATAATTCATCAGTCAGCCTTAAACTCAGTCAACAAAGAGAAGACGTTGTTGAGCTGCTTTTTGCCAAAAACGATGAGCACATTAAACCATGCATGCAGCATGGCGCAATCCGACCGAGGGGATCCTGGCAACTTTATCGTTTATGGACGTGGACCTGCAGTGTGTACAGAGTACATCCATGTAAACTAATCTCACGCACCCAGTATTAGTCCAAGTCGGCGACCCCAGACTGTCGTCTGTTGTCGGAAGGAGGCCATGTTACGGATGGATCAACGTTCCTCCATGTATGTATTGCGGAGTATTCCGTAAATGTTTGACCGACAGATCAAGGCATTGAAGTCCTCGAGGCTTGGCAGTGAATCCCCCTTAATTACCAGGAAATGATCCCATTGACAACACTTGCTCCCTCGCCTGTCGATTTACGAAGATGAGAAACAAGTCAACGGCGTAATACCAGGTGGCATATGGAAGCCACCGGCCGGACTGAGCTGGACGAGAGAAATACCGTTTTGCTTGACACTTCCCTTCCATTTCCCGCCAGTCCGAGCGCTGCACATGGTGACACAGCGTCGACGAATGTCTCTGAGCGATAAAAAAAGACGGCGTGGTCGCAGATGTGCCCAAGTTCATGCTAGATCTGAGACACGGCCGCAAATCAATAAAGAGATGTGAAGCCTAGAAAAGCGTACTAGTCTCAATTTCGCTATACCCGGCGAAGATGGTCTGCCATGTTGATAAATTTCCGCCCGAAACGTTACACCGCGGCTGAGAAGCTTGTTTCTGTCACACGCACTGGGCTTGGAAACAGGTGCACCTGGCACTGGCTCGTTTGAATATGTACAAGTTGGGCAATAAGTACTCAAGTGCTTGGTATTAACTCCCTCTAAGTAGTATTTGCCCATCTTCAGACCCCGCGAGCCGGGAAACGTAGCACATACCTAGATAGATTCATATTGCTACATAAAGTCTGGTACTTACTTAAGTACTTAAAGCATGTACTTTCTGCCTGCCACTCAAGTCTGAAACTGCCCGTGAACTCTTTTGCGCTGATCTCCCAAAGTTCCATTGGTATAGGCTATGTTCCCCTCTTCACTGGTGACGTCGAAGCCGTCGCCCACCGTTGACGCTTTATCAAACACCCCTGTAGTATGCCCCGCTCAGCCAATTAGACTGCCGCCTACCCCCACAAAAATTTCGAGCCTTTGAGCACCTGCTCCGGATCCTCAGCCTTGTCCCTACAAAAGCAACCCAACCTCAGCAATGGATTCGGCAGACCATCTCACGCCCGGTACGCCTCATACCAAACGACGCAAGACTCATGACGACTCATCGCAGCGGTCGAGCTCGCTTGGCACGTCCCCCAGCGCCAGGAAACACTCAGAGCCCAGGTCGCGGGAGCCTCGCGATCCCTCACAATCCAGGTACGACGTGACGAGAAGCCCCAGTGCTGCAGGCTCAAACAAGCACTATTCATCGCGGTCTCGCTCAAGAAGACGGTCTCGATCCATCTCCAGCTCAGGATCAAGCACGCGCTCAGAGTCACCGCCTCTTTCCCGGACGCGTTCTCGCCGGCGGTCCGGGTCACCCACATCCTCTGACCGCACGCGAACCGAGTCCTACTCGCCCCGGCCGCGACAACCCTCACCTACTCGGGAGCCCTCGAAACCCAACTACAGACCGCGTCTAGTGCTCCACGGCCACACGGGCCCCGTTTCACAGGTGAGGATATCGCCCAATGGCAAGTTCATCGCCTCAGCGTCCGCGGATGGAACCTTGAAACTGTGGGATGCGGCGACGGGCGCGCACATGGACACGCTGGTAGGCCATATGGCCGGCGTGAGCTGTGTTGCTTGGACGCCGGATAGTAACACTCTGGCGAGCGGTTCCGACGACAAGGCCATCCGCCTGTGGGATCGCGTGACGGGACGGCCGAAAACGACGACCCGCAAATCAATCGCCGGTCAGGAAATGGCCGCGCTGCGAGGACATCACAACTATATCCACTGCCTGGCGTTCTCGCCAAAAGGAAACATCCTCGCCAGCGGGTCATATGACGAAGCCGTGTTCCTGTGGGACGTCAGGGCGGGACGGCTAATGAGAAGCTTACCAGCTCATAGCGATCCTGTCAGTGGGATCGACTTTTGTCGAGATGGCACATTGGTCGTGAGCTGTTCGACGGATGGATTAATGTAAGCATGCTGCATTAGAATTGCTACCGCTGATTGACTAAAGCTAACGAATCCCAGTCGAGTATGGGACACCTCGACCGGACAATGTCTCCGAACACTCGTGCATGAAGACAACCCTGCCGTCACAAACGTCTGCTTCTCCCCCAACGGCCGCTTCGTCCTGGCCTTTAATCTTGATAACTGTATACGGCTATGGGACTATGTGGCTGGGACTGTGAAAAAGACCTACCAGGGCCACCGGAACGAGAAATTCGCCATAGGTGGCTGCTTTGGTGTCTTGGACGGCGAACCTTTCATCGCGTCTGCAAGCGAAGACGGTGATGTGATACTGTGGAACGTGAAGAACAAGGAGATACTGCAGAGGATTTCTACGGGCCATAAAGGCGTTTGTTTCTGGGTCGATGTCAATGGCGAAATATTGGCAAGTGCGGGACAGGACCACACTATTAGGGTGTACAAACACGTAAGGGAGGGCGGCGTCACAAATGGGAGTCTGCCGTCTGAGGTGGAAATGACGAGCAAATTGAAGGGTGAGCTGCCTATTCGGCAAGAGGATATCAAGTTGGAGGATGCGTGAAATGATGAAAGTTATTAGCAAGCCATGAAATCTTTTGATCTTTGTCTTCTAGAGCAAGTATATGCTGTTCGCTGTGTCTCTGATAGCAATTTTGTAAGTTGTGTGAACCTGACTTCCAAACTTCCAAATATCCGCTTGTCATTCCCTTATTCGTTACCAAGCTATTACTGCAAAAAGAAAAACTGGTGAGGTGTATCCCCTATTAACGCTGGTTCATTTTTTCGTGATTGGTAACCCTGAAATCCACCGGTCTTGATTGCTGCCAACTTATCATGGTCCCCTGAATCCCACATCCGTTGCTGAATGGCAAACCGTCTGTTCGAATCACATGTATTCTACTTGAACACTATGCTGCGCGACTCGTTCTTCGTTATAGTACACCGCGAATTCGACGGAAATACCGTCGCAAGTAATTTCTATTTCAAAATTTAGGATGCGATAGGCCTCTCCGCGACGGTTTCTTCCAATCGGTAAAGTCTGTCGTTTTATAGTTTTGCTCCAATTAACCTCACACAATACAGATACCGACTGATCTTTTCTTGAAGGGGGTTCTGAAGAAGCCGATATGTAGAATTCCTCAGAAACTTGCCCAATGGCGCCCTTGAATGTGTAAAAGTACTCGTGTCGTGTTGATGTGGTGGCTGATAAGTCGGTGCCCTATAAATGTTAGCTGAGGGAATCCGAAATGTTTTGCATGGCGGGAAATGATCCAAGTATCAGGGGAGATTTGAAATGGGGTTATGCGAATTGCAGTCCATACCTTTCGTAACAACCATTCCATTTGGTTATCTGCCATCGGTTCCAATGTACAATCATCAATACACCGGTCTTCAGGAGAGTGGAGTTCCGGGTTGAAATGTTTCGAGACCATGATGCCGTAACTCATCCTAGCTATCCTGGTTTTAACTTTCACGTCAAGGCATTCAGACAAGCCCAAGGATGTGATTCCATGAATCACGGCTCCGCGACATATTGCGACCCAGCTGACAAACATTCGTTAGTAATTGCTTATGAGCATACTGCGGATGAACTTAAACCAATTTATTCTAGTAAGAAAAGGACTTACGGCTTAGAACCTCGGGACTGAAGGACCGTAGTATTCTCTCCAACTAACAACTTGAGTCGCTCAAATAGGTATGGGCTACGTCCAAACCCGCCAACAAGAATTATAAACTAATGTTTATATTCAGAATAGATTAGAACAGAGTGTTATGTTTTATTTATGGATGTATTTTTGTGAGTGTCATACCTTCGGTTCTCTTCCATACTTCCCCAAGATAGACATTGATTGATGAAGGACAAGTGACTTAATCTTGTCAACAATTGGGCTGAATACGTCAATTAGTTCGGAACTGCTCATGATATTAGCTTATATTCTGAGTAAAAACAGAGTACCTCACAAACTAACGTGCTAATCTCCACCGTCAACGGTCTTTTTTTGCCCTTTCCTTTTGCGATCATCGAGTCGGGAAGCTCAACACCCCACGAGCGATTCTGACCTCGGAATTGTGGTTTAATGCCGTGCTCCCAATTGTCGTTGAGGAACTTTTTGATTTGTCCCTTGTCTATATTGGCTAGAGAGCTAGAGGTTCTTGACATTATAAGCTTTTTGAATTCTTCGTCTAGGAATATTCCACCGCATAAGCCACCTGGAAACGCACTTTTGTTAGACAGTCTTTGCTTTGGTAGTTGTGATCAATTTCCATGCCATGCTTACCTTCTCCTTGAACGCATTCTTTCAAAACAAATGGCTCTTTGCTTTCCACTTGATAGCTAATGAGATCCTGCTTCACGTATCAGATCCAAGAGGTGGGAGGGATGTCGACTCCGAAAACTGCGCAACCTACCACTGTGCCACCCCCCGCATCACAAACCACAATGTGATCCCCGGACTGGAGAAGGAAAAGGTGAGCATATAATTAAGACTTGAATGTCTTACTAGAAGAATTCTCACTCACCTGGATAGTAGATTTCTTGGAATGGTCTTTAATTGTAGCCAACGCCGCGGCTTCGGGCTCCGAGACGAACTTCAGAATCGTCTCGCCAGCGTGTCTCTTGCTAAGAAAGCCGGCTTTTTCGGCGGCCTTTCTCATACTTTCTTGAGCATAGTGAGGCCATATAGCAGGTAGCGTCATGACAACATACAAACGACACTTTTCAAGCAGGTTTTCACCGTTCGCTTCCTCAATTGATCGCAATGCGTGCTTCCAAAGCTGGGTCAGGAAACATGCTACAATATCGACGACGTCTTTATTAGATACTTCTTGGAGGCGACGGGCTTCATTAAGTTTAGGCGAGTTGCGCATATCCAAGGGGAGATCTTTCTCTTTGAGCAGAAGCAATTTGAACCATTCAAGGACTTCTCCATTTGCAGGAACGTTATACCCCCATTTGATATTGTCATCACCTTTGCAGAAAGAAAGCTGAGTTGGTGTCTTTTCGAGGTCCGAACAATGATTTAGCTCAGACTCCCATGTAGTTACTACCTCGATATCTTCGGGCTCATTTGAGTATGCCCATGCCACACCAGAGTATCTGTCATGACAGTCAGAGGCGTCCGATCAACAAATATTAATGAACAAGATGTAGGATAAGAAACGTACGTGGTGCCAAAGTCGATTCCGATAATTATATATTCATCCATGATGCAATCCGATGAGGGCAGATAGAAGTACGGTGAGGGGGATCAACCTTGCAAGGTATTCGAAGGCTAAATAATGTGCGAGTAGAGGAAGAGAGATTTAGTTCCAAGGAGCAAGAGTTGTATTTGAGTTCACTTTTTTGGTTTGAGTGCGGCAGGCTCACCCATAGAACTTGCCAGTTGGTGTCAGTTGCTCGCAGCTTCTTATTTCTCGTACTCGGGCCTCAGCCGAGTCACAGCCCCTCTCTACTCTTCATCCTGATATCCAAGCACACAAAGTACACCAACAGTTCTTCAGTTTTGCCTACTAATTGTGAACTTACATAACTAGTATGAGCCTCGAATTAAATCGTCTGTTAGAAGACCTTAGGCGGTGTGTTGGGACTCACAGTCACGTGCCAGGCACTACAAAGCTTACTGCTACGCCTGTACACTTTAGCTACCTTTTCTCTCCTTGACACATGCAGAAAAGTCTCTCTTTATTAGCTCTGTTGCAATACACGCTTTCATTTGCACACTCGAGCTCTTGTGACTTTGCTCGTAGACCCCTTCCGTGGTCCCTCACACGGTGGCTCAGAAGAAGGACCCGCGAATCAAATTCTGTCCAATTAACTATTGAAATGGACCAGCCACTAGAAACTGAGGACTGCAATCCAGACCACCCGGAAGAAGTCAACCTTATTACTTGCTGCCTCTTGGAGACAGAGAAGCCTCCTTCGCCTATACCATCGGGATCACCCCGAAATGAGCCCACCGAGGCCGAAGCGCCTCTGTGGCCATACTCGACGCCTAGGGGCATTGTCGAAACACTACGGAGTCCGTGGCACATCGAATGCGACGAACCATCTCATGGGAATCAGGACAGGCTTTCATCACCAACGGGAACTGAGCGAACTGATAGTCCGCCACCTCCAGTCGAATCCGCCATAGTTAACACCATGTTTAGCAAGAGCAGCTGTGAACTTACAATACGTGGGTTTACAAATGGCAGTCTGGATGACCATGTCCAGAGTATGAATGAAGAAATTAGCCATCTGAGGCAGCAAAACCAAGGCTTATACGCACATATTCAAAATCTGGAGTTAAAGAACCAAGAAATTAGCCATCTGAGGCAGCAAAACCAAGGCTTATACGCACATATTCAAAATCTGGAGTTAAAGAACCAAGAAATTAGCCATCTGAGGCAGCAAAACCAAGGCTTATACGCACATATTCAAAACCTGGAGTTACAAAACCAAGAAATTAAAGTGTCCCTTCAAGCGGCCCGAACGCAGGCACAAAAAGCTGTCGAATTGTCCAGAACCGCGAAATCACGAACAAACAAGAACAACATACCTGATTCTGAATTCAAGTCAAAATGGAGACAACTCAAGTTCAATGTCAAAATGCTGTCCAGGCATATACTTCATCATAATCCTGAACTTACCTTACAAGCTAGGCATTTCACCACAGTTATGAAAACTTTCAGAAACAGCAAAGGGAGTGAGGTACATGGCAGTTCCTTATTCCAGGAGCTAGACACTAGACGACTTGGATTGGAAGCTTATCTTTGGAGTTTCCTCTTCGATGTCGTTTTCGACTCGAACAGCGAAACGGATGCCGCCCGAACGAGGACGACCTTCAAGAGACATAGAAAGGACTATGCCAGTAAGTACCTGACATTTCTCATGTTGTGATATTCTTGTCACTAATATGTATTCTTTTAAAATAGAGTTGAAGATAGAAGATTCGTCTCAAATCGCGGCTGTCTATGACTGGTTGCAGTCAGGCTGGCCCATCACCAAGCCAATAACACCCGACTCTGTCAACGAGCTCTTACGAAAGGACTGCGAAGAAATTTACCAAATGATTCATGGCAATGATGGTAGAAAGCGCTCAGATACTCGGGCGGAATCACGCGAAGAGCTCCGAGACATACTTTCTCTGGCTCTGGAGCTAGATGAAATGATCATGACCTCGCGGGCCATGATTACCGTGGTATGGCCCGGTGAGGTACCCGAGATCAACGCAGGCAACTGCACCGAGTATCAAGAGTGGTACATGGAGGCCATACAGGAAGAGGGAGAGCCCGGCGAGAATGTGAGATTGAAGTTGTGCGTTACGCCCATACTTTTGAAGAAAGGGAATGCGAGAGGGACCAACTACGAGTCTCAGATTGTGCTTGTCAAGGGCGATGTTGTTGTGGCTTATGGATCTAGTCAGGGGAGTACGGAACCTGTTCAGACTCAGGAAGGTACCGTAGAGTGAGCTTCACTGGGTTTGATGATTTCTGTTTTCTTCTGGGGAAATTGGGACGTTGGTTGTGATGATGGGCAGGAATTAGCATGGTTTACATGATGAGAGCTATACGGCCCCGGGAGGAAATGGTAAAACGGAGCCGCTCGGATACTTGACTACATCTTTGCACAGAGACATAAGCTTCCATAGCTAATGAGGACCAATAAGAAAATATCCTCTTTACCCCATGGCGCGGCCCGGTACGCATGCCACAAAACACACGAGATTCAGAAGCAGTGAAGGAGTAAATGTACTGCCGTAGATGCAACGCGAGCCACAACCCCAGCTTGTCGGATCTGCCCCTCCCATAACTTATGACCAAACGGGCAATTGTTTTGAGCAAGGATAAGGGGTTCGTCTCATTAGGCATGTATGTACAGCTGACGGGGCTGATTGAATGAAATACCAGATGTAGCAGTGACTGCTTCCTAGACGAAACATGACACCGACACTGCAGCCAAGCTCCGAATATGGGAACGGTATGGGCTGATTTACTCCGTGTGCTGCTACTAAAACATGTTTGACACAAATGCTTCTGCTTCGTAAGGCGCCGCGGTCCGAGACAAGGTGTTTGTCACGACCGTGTTACAGAACTTTCATGGCCGAATTAATTCTAATACAATGCATTCTACTGTTCCGTCCTGGTGCAGAGAAGGGATCCTTGCACAGTTCGAATGATGCTCTTTGACTTCATGTGAAACTTGGGTGCAGTAGAGTGTATGTTTCTTGTAGAAATCATTGTCCAAGGTATGGGGATGGCAAATATCAGAAGCCTAAACTAGGCGATACGGAGCAGTGAAAACACCTCAAACGTCTGAATCTAGTAACCACCGTAGACTATTGAATCAGGACAAAGGAGTGGCTCCATGGTTCATTGGAGGAGGAGAATACGACGTGGAACCGTTCGTTGGACGGTGTGGACGGCAAACGCAGTAGATCTATAGGCGAGTCAGGAACGTACTGGCTCACCCAAGCCCAATCGCACAAAGGCAAGATTGATTGGCCTGGACGGATTGCTGGAAAGATGGTGGGATGGGGTGGCTCAAAAGGCGCAAAGCATGTTGGGCGACAAGTTGAACTGGACAGCGACGGCGTCAAGGACAAAGGCGCGCATCGGACGAGATCCACTGCATACAGTGGATTACAGAAGTTCGATGGACGCTGCGGAGAAGTGAGGTCCACGAGGTTAGAGACATTTCCCGAGGGATCGCGTAGATAAGAAATGTCGACTGAGGACGATCAGCATCCACAGTCTCCATCTCGGGAGGGCCACATGGGCCAGAAGCCGGGGAACGACACGCCGCTAGAATTGGCCACAACGGGTGGAGGGGTAGTCGACATGGCAAGGCTGTTTGTTGGCCAGGTCAAAGACAAGTCGAAGTCGAGTTCATGTCGTTGGTCCATAATGTATGCATGTGTCTGAGCTCTGCGGTGTTGCCGACGCCTTTGTTTGTCATGACCGAGTGTCCTCACGTTCGGATGTTCATGAGTGTCCATGATGTTTGCCACTTCTTCTATTGGCTTCCGGCGTAAGCCCTAGTTCAGCCGCGGTGCTTTGTCACCTTGTCGTTTCGCACGTCCAACAGAGCTTTAGAGGTAGTACGTTAGTCAGTCGTGCGTTGGTGCGCACATACAAGACGGCGGGACGTGCGAAAGAGGACCCTTGGGATCTGCGAACCATCTGGTTGGTAGTTAGTACTCACTCCGTGCGGCGTGGTCATTCGGCAACCCTGCTAGATTGATGACAATCAATGTTGGAGAATTCGAATTGAACAGAATGGCGTACTAATTAAAAGGCGGTGATTGAGTAGCATTCACTCTGCACAAAAGAAATAATCCCAAATGCATGGGGCACCTATTGACGCCTTGACGCCTTTTATGTGCATGTGGACGAAAGTGCAGGACCCCGCGACGAACACTGCCCGTTCTTTCCCCCACAGTTACTAGGTTACTGGAGGGAAGGAGCGCATGTCACCTGCCGGTCAAGGCAGCATAAGCGGTCACCGTCAACAACAACTCCAAGCCACATTTCTCACATCTCTGGTACCATCAACAACGGGTGGACCATCTCCATCTCCATCTCCATTTCGCCTTTTCCCTCACTCACCCACGTCCACCGTTCACAGGCTTTTAGGTCCGACTCGCTCTCGCTTCAACTCGGTTTCTCACCCGTGCCAATCCATCCGGCCAGTCAATCAATCAATCAATCAATCAGATTCAACGACTACGTACCTCGCTTGACCCCCCCTTTGTTTGTCAGTCTTGCAGCCTTGGACCATATTTGTCGCAACAAGTGGCATCAGCCTCAGCACTGGTATCAGCACCTCGGCGTCTGTGCCAGATTTTTGGCATTGCAGCCAAGACACCAGGCAAACCCCGCCCGACGACTGTTACGTCTCGTCGATTTCGCGACGCTGTCGGTGGCAGAAAGCCAAAAAGACGTCCCGAACAACTGAGACTGAACGGAACAGCCCAAATCCGCCCTCTAGTGTTTATTTTTGGCCCTAAGCTGCCCCAGAGCTCAATTGCCCACGACAGGAATGTTCCGCGGCCCACCAACAAACAGCATTGAACCACCCACTAAACCCAAGGTTGCATAGCACACGAATCACACGAATCTAAAGCTGACTCGGATGCATCCTGGCGGCGTCGGTTTATTTTGCTGGTTCATCAGGAGAACATAAGCCATCACCACACCTCTTGGTTCTTCTTCTTTTCACTCCGTGCCCCTCACTTTATCTTTTGCCTTTATAGTCTGTCATTGCTGCTGCCGCCGTCTGTCTTGGTTTGCTTGGCATTGTCCGTATCGTCAGCGCAAGCGTTGTGAAGAAGATCCACCAACCAACCGGACTCGACTACTAATACCGCCAGCGTCCACCCTCGTGCCCAAGTTGCAGGGTCGCGCTTGTCCCTCCAACCGGCTCCGACTCCTGCGTTCCTGGCGACCGCGACCTGCACTTCCTGGAGCAACAACAAGCGACTTCCCGACTCCTCTACTTGACGCTACAGAAAACTTCTCGCCTCCTCCCGTCCCTCAAGACCGACATAGTATATCTTTTTCAAGCCACGCTAGCTTTCCTTGACCCGCATGCAGTTTCTCCTAGACAGGACTCATGGAGCCCGTTCCTGAGACGGAACGTATGGAGGCGTTCAAGTCCTCACCTGTGCCCTCCCTTCGTCTTAGTAGCAACCCGAATGCTATTCCACCGTTGGACCTGGACATGGTGAGGAAACCGCCCACCATACGTCGCAGTACCGACCCGAACCCAACCTCACCAATTTCACCATCATGGAGTTCGGCACCTTCTGTTGCCTTGCCTTACAGACCACGAACTGCATCCCCTCTATCAGGAGGCCATTCACGATCGCGGTCTGCCGCTAGCCTCGCTTCCCCTATGTCACGAACCCAGTCTATGCCCGGAGTCAGCGGTTCGGGGCGTATTTTGTACTCACCCGGCTTACGACCCGCAAGTCCCTCCAACTCTGGCTCCCCAAGTCGTGTTCGAACGCCAAGAAAGCCTGTCGATGAAGCTTTTCCTGCGACATCTCCGGTCCGGACGAGTGTTCTCGAGCAAGACAAGAAGCAACCCGACCGAAGCAGCTCACCCGTTCTTGGAGGAGCAATTGTGTCATCAAGTCGACTTAGGAGATCCTCGTCTCCTTTTCGAAGTGTGCCACCGCCGAGTTCCAGCGCTCTTTCTTTGCTACCCTCGCCACCGTCCTCCGTTTCGTCAGCTTCCTCTTTACGAGGCTACGATGCTCTGTCAGCCAGTTATGGGGGCAGCCTATCTTCCGTGCCATCCACACCGACGTCAGCTCGATCACGCAGCCCCAGCATCTCAAGTTTGGAAACCATTCCTGACTCTCCAGATGCAGAAGAGGCCGCTTTGGAAGCCGAGAAATTAACTCAGCTCAAGGTTGCCGCAGAAGGAGCAGATGGCGGCGATTCGTCCGATTCCAAAGGTCGACCACCTATGGACGCACCTCCCAGGGGCAGAACTCTTAGCTATGGACCAAGGGACAAACGCAAGCGATGGAGTGTCTGTGGAGCCGAACGACGCGGCGATTTAGATCTGGAGACAATTTGGGAGGACTGAGGACATGAAATGAACCGTGAATGGCATCACGGCGTTGCATGATACACACAACAGAGCAAAGCGAGCTTTTTTTGCATTACCCGACATGAATTATTATGAACAGCGGAAACGGTTTTATTTTCTATGGTTTACGCAGGCTCGATGGGGGTTTTTTTTTTGGCGTCATTGTCATGTTTCTTTTTGACTAGGCCCGTCCACTATTTTGGTGAGGCAAATGTTTGGAGGGCTTAGTAGGTCACCGCGTCTTTGATACCCTAACGCATTCACGCGATTGCATGGTGTGGCTGGTGGAGGAAGATGGAGGGGGAACTCATGATGTATGTAGAATATGCGAGAAGGGAAGCTCTCGCAGGTGTTTTAAGAGACTATAGTTGTTAAATACGGCGCGCAGACGTCGATTTGCAGATAGAGCGGGCTCTATTTTCGGACCGAGGACCTCGTGCATCTCTTGGAAACAAATTCAAGGGGAAACTCTACTGAATGGACTCGCCATAGGTACACATTCCGACGATATTCCTACAGCCTGGTTATTGATTGCTACCTATGTAGATGGCGTTGAGGAGGTGGATGTGGTTCAGCTGCCGAGTCGACAAGGGAAATGACACATCGATGTCATCGGTCTGCGCCATGTTCTTGACCCGTGACTATGTGCTACGTAGAAATTTGTCCATTTGGCGCAAACAGCTGATGCGGCCTGTACGACGAATAGGGTGAAAAGTAGCAAAAACACAGTCTCAAATTTAGGTCGTGGGTATAGTAGTACTTGTATTAGCTAAATCCACGGGTCAAGCTACTACATCTTCTAATGGTATGTATAGGAGTATAGCCATGATAGTCCTATAGAAGTGTTTCAATATGAAGTTTGTAATGTGCATTACCGTGAATGTATTTCTCTCATGAAATCATGACCACAGCCCCCATCCAATGCCGATTCTCGACTTCACCAACTCCAAAAAGCGCTCTTCCACAGCCCCAGCTCCGCAACTCCCAGCCTGAAACGCCCATCACATTCCCAGCTTCTCGGGCCCAAAAGACAAGGGCAGCAACTATCAAACCGGCGCGTCAGTCAAACCAATCCTCACAATGACGCCCCTTCCCCCTTTCTTTCAAAGCAAACGACGTACCTCTTCCAGCGTAAGAACCACATAATTCTCATCCTTGTCAAACATGATGACGGGCATGTCCAGCCTGCAAAACTCGCGAATACTGCCCCCCCCCCCCGGCAAGGATTAGCTCCAAAGCCCACCACCTTCTCACGCGAGGGCATCCCAAAACTCACAACTGCCTACACATGCCGCAAGGGCTCGCGGGCGGAGCGACGTCCGTCGCCACAGCCACGGCCTTGAAGGCCCTCAGGCCGCGGTCGGTGACGGCCTTGCCGAGGGCCACGCGCTCGGCACACGTGCCCACGGGGTACGAGGCGTTCTCGACGTTGGCCCCCGTGGTGACGGAGCCGTCGTCGCCCAGGACCGCCGCGCCCACCCGGAACTTGCTGTAGGGGCAGTAGGCCGCGGCCTTGGCGGCGGACGCCTGGGAGCGCAGCGCGGCGAACTGCTCCGGCGTGAGGGCGTGCGCTTCGCATGTCGCTGCGATGGAGGCGGCTGATGAGGAGGCGTGGATGGTCGGCGGCGCGCGGGACATGGCTTTGTCTTTTTATCTTCTTCCCTTCCTTTTTTTTTGTGGCCTCCCAGCACGGCGGGGAAACAAAGGACCAAAGTATTTTCAATGGAAGCTGTGTATTTGTTGAGAGAGGTCGGAGACGGAGCTCCAGGGAGAAAGAAGAGGAAGAAGAAGAAAAAGAGAGGGGAAGGAGAGGGAGCAAAAACGAGGATGTGAGATGGCCTTCATGGAGGTTTGTACTCGGTACCGTCTGGTGTCTTACTCTTTCTGGACATGGACTGTTTGCCAGGAAGCTCCCCCACATTTTGGCTGTCATGCGGGGAATCTGCATCTTGGTCGTTGGATGTGGCGCTCGGAGAAGTCCTCCGTAGGCGGTTAGAGAGCCGTTTTGGGCAACGTGCTGTCGAGGCTGTCGAGGCTGTCGGGGACACTGCCGAATGTGAGCCGCGAGTTTTGTCTGACGCTTTTACCCAGAATGTACGTAACTGCATGGGACACGGTTGTTGCTAAACTGCAGAAACGTCATCGTTGCCAGGATGCGCCATGGAACGTCTGCAAGGTATTAATCACATACATGTACATGTACATGGCTTCATGGTTCGTCCAGGGAAATCACTGCCTCGAAAACTTGCCGCTTTCATTACTTCTCTGCCAGCATCGACCTCATGCTATACAAGCTAAGCCTCGCCATTACGTCAAATGGTATCTCATAAATTCTGCCCGATGCGTTTCCCCGGCCATGCTTCAACTTGATATGATAGAGACAATTGAATCATCTTATCCCTGCCATAGATATACACCCAGAAACTGCATTCAACCGCGTCGTCATGGTAGTAAATATGCCTCCCCCAGCCTTGGTTTGGATACAAATAAAGAAGAAAGAAAAAGACGAAGAGAAAAAAAAGACATGGGAATCGTTCATCTAGGTGTTACTGCGCCATGTATCAGTTCAGGCAGCAAGTAGTCTCATCGCCGTTATGATCCATCCGGCATGTAACTGCCCTTGCTAGAACTCGCCGTCAACGGAGTCATCTGCGCCGATGAGCTGCTGTCGCTCGGGGTCATTGGTTCGACCACCTGGCTTCGAACAGCCATGATCCATTCGTGCTGAAGAAGCTCCACGGCCGATGGCCGTTCCTTTGGGTTTCGTGTGAAGCACTTGGACAGAAAATCAAGCCCCGCAGGGCTGACTTGGTCAGCTGTTGGAAGCTGTGGCGGGTTGCCTTGTGCAATGTTGTACATGATGGCCCATTCGTTGTCCAGGTTGGCCCATGGCCGTCGACCAGTGGCCATTTCCAAAACGACGCAGCCGAGCGACCAAATGTCCACAGAGCCCGCTCGTCCCGGGTTCTCTCCTTTGATAACTTCCGGCGACATGTACATGGGAGTGCCCGTCATGGATTTGTTGGGTTTTGTGGCATGTAAATCCGCCGCCAGCGTACGTCCTTGGCGGGCGATGACCTTGGCAGCCCCAAAATCCACATACTTGATAATTCCATTATGGTTGAGAAGGATGTCTGCAGACATACAATGTTAGCGCAAAACGTTGTATACGTATAAAGAAACTTAAAACACGGTAGACACGTACTCTCTGGCTTGATGTCTCGATGAGCAATGCCACTTTCATGCAGATACACCAATCCCTCCAGAAGCTGCAGGGCATAAAAGGTAATGACTTGCTCATCCTCTATTCGTCCATGCTCGAGCAGGTTCGCTAGCGATCCTCCAGAGCAATATTCCATAAAGATGTACACACGATCTCGATGGACTTCAATGCCGTGGTATTGCACGATATTGGGATGGTCCAATACTTCCAAGACACCCATCTCCTCTCTGATTTGCTCGGCAATGGTAGGAATCAGCTTTGGATCTTGCAGTCTGATCTCTTTGACAGCCATCAGCAGACCAGTGTCTAGGTCCATGGCCGCATACACATTGCCAAAAGTGCCACCACCAACAAAGTGTCCCTGCTGCCACCTCTTCGTGACATTGGTTGCTGACGAGGACAAATAGGCAAGCGATCGATCGGCTTCATTGTTGGCCTCCAGTACACGACCCAGTGCGCGTCTCTCCCCTTCCTTCTCATGCCTCAGCTCATCCACAACATCCAATCGCATCAAACGCTGCTCTGTGGTGCAGCGCGATGCCTCCTCGTCGTCGAGCATTCTGTTCTTGTCCAGTTTCCTGAACTGTCCCAAAAGAGCTTCAATCCGTTCCTTTTCTGCTTGCGCTGCCAGGTTGGATCTGGCACCCATGATGTCGAAATGGGAGATCAAGAGTGACATGCAGCCACCTACCTTTCTTCTGAGCCTCTCATACTCCTCATCGCCAAGTGTAAGAATATGCTTTCCCCTGGTCATGCCCATGGCAAATTCCAGAGCCAGCACGGCCCATCTAAACGTCTTTCGATCTGAAGCAATGCAGTCGTCACAGATGAAGCTCACCCAATCAAGAGCAAGCTTGGTGAGTTTCAAATTGTTCATCTGCCGTCTATTGTGGTCCATGTAGAGTAGTGACCGTTGGCCGAACTCAGTAGCAAAGACAAAGCATGTTTGAATCAATTCCTGGCAATCCTTCCCTTCAGCCTGTTTGCGGATCACCTCGACACTGTCCATGAACGTGCTGGACAGCTTGTAGGCCACCCGCCGAATCTCCACAAGTCTCACGTTGACTTTGTGAATATTGGACCTAGACTCCTGGCGTAGATCCAGGTGCATATCCACTGCGTCAAGGAAGGCCTTTCTTGCTTCCGGTAGTGCCTGAGACCCTGTTGCGCACAACCGAGCCTGACCCCGTTTCAGATCGATATTCTGTTCTCGTAGAGGCACATCGACTTTTTCTCCAAACCAGTGGAAACTGCCTTCTGGTCGCAGGATGAGGAGATATTGCTCGCCCAGGTCTGGAAACCGATCTATTGAGGTCACAGCCATCATTGCTTGCATGTCATCCAACTTGCCGTGAAGCTCTGGAGATGCAATAATATATTTTTCTTGCTTTTCATACACCCCGGTTTGTAGAAGGAAGTGGCCGGACGCTACTAGCTGATCGTAAAACTTTTGCATAGTCTCTGGCGGAAAGCAAATGCTGAAATCAGAAGAATGCTCATAATTGTCGCTAAGCATTCTCCCGAATCTTTGCAGCATCCGTTGGCGAATACGTACGGAATCGAGACAGGCCTTGTATCGCTTGCTCATATCGGTGGCGCTTTCTTTGGGTTTCACCTGTAGCTCCTTTTCAAACGTTTCACTCAAACGGTTCAGAGCCTTGAATGTTAGGGAGCTGAATTGCTCTGCTACCTCGATTTGGCCACCCTGTAAGTGACTTCCAATGTAGTTGGCAAAGTCCCATTCTTGAAACAGTAACTCTGCTTCTTTGAACGAATTCTTGTTTCCGCTTAGTTTCCAATTCAACATCTTGAAATAGTACTTGAGCGCTTCCAACACAACCTGATCGAATGACTCATCGATACACGGTGGTAGGTCCCAGCCGGGTTCGGGGCTTTCAATAGAAAGATACTCCTGCTTGATTCTAATGGCAAACTTGAGGAGAAGTTGGAATTGTGAAATCATCTGTTCTTGCATCATTGGATTCTGCTGAGCGGCCTCTTTAACTCTCTTAGCGTATTCGAGACGTGTCTTCGTGATTTCCTCAATGAGCCGAGACGGGAAACTGATGAGGGTCAACAGTTCCTCTAGATATGGCGGTAGGTGGCGTTTTCGGAAGGGCGCAGAGTTGCGAATAAGCGTCTCTTTGGCTTTGCTAATGATGGAAGAAATAGGCCAGAGCATACCCTTCTGGGGAGTTCGCTCATCGTCGTCGTAGAGGGATTGCAAGCCGTCCTCTTTCATCAATCTATCGAGGAAAGATGTCTCATCATTCGTGATGCCGTCCACAGCAGGTGACCTTTGTTTGGTGCGAGAAAAGTCTAGCTCTTCATTTCCAACCCACTTCTTCAAAATGGACAGTTCCGTATTGATCATCTTGTTCGTGTTGTACCAGGAAAAGATGGCCTCATAGGCCTCTTGGAATTGAGGCGAGGCAGCCGTTTTGTGTTCCGCTGCCAGGGATTGCCATGAGGGATAAAGACTCTCGCACTTCTCGATCTTCTTCACAATATCCTGGACCTGCTCGTAAGGTGGTTTCCCAGCCACACTCTCGCCCTTGACCTCAAAATTGATGATGTCGTCCAAGAGTCGATCAACCGTGCTCCGAGCCTCTTCGACCATGCGTTTCTGGACTGGAAGCTGTCTGCCGCAACATTTGGCCCGAACGCCGAGCCACAGTTCTGACCTGTGGGCCGTTTTACTGGCTTGTTGGTCTGAAGAACCGATAAGCCGCTTCTTTTCTTGACGAACAACGTCGCCAGTCAAGACGGCCTCAAGCATGGCGTACCACTCAAGCCTATCCCTGTTGTTCGGGTCATTCATGTCCTCCTCGGTGGGTAGCAAGTTATCGCTGCCGTAAAACATGTTGGTTTCTTGATCCGGGCCGATATCATATGGTCCTTCGGAATTCGGTGTCTCGCCCTCGGAGTCGGAGTCGTTCCCGTTCATTCCTTGGTATGATGAAAAGTATTCTCCAGAGGCGGCATCATGCCGAAGCTTCTGGATATAGGCTCGTTCTTGTGCTCGAAATCTACTCTCGCTCTGTCTGGTTCGGGTCTTGGACGACGACCGCATGGACTCGACGAACGGCTGTGTCTGCTGAGATGGCCGCGGTTTTCGAGATGTGGCCGGGTTGTATGTATTGGACGGAGTTCTGGCTGGGGCAAGCGGTCGCTGTGGTCGGCCACCATTGGCATACGGAGTGCCGTCATCGCTTACATTGTTCCACTGCGTCTTCGAGCCAACACCAACAGCAACACCATTGACAACAGTCTTGGCGGGTATCGACGCAAGAGAACTGGCATGCGTGGGGGCGTCAACATATCGGTTCAAGTCGTTGATTTCGCTGTGCCCCTCTATAGCGTTGGGTTCGTCCTCGGACCCGGGTGACGAGTTGACAGCATCAGGGCTGACGAC